TATCTTGAGGTCAAACTGAACTCAATTACCTTCTTTAATGAGGTATTTATGAATCATTAAATTCTCGGAGACACGTATTCGCAGCAAGCTAGCTATTAATTTACAATAATTGCGATATGTTATACAGTTCAGAAACGTTCAGCTATATTCGTGCTAGTGATAAAGGAATGGATTTTTGAACAAATCTTCTTTTACATATCAGTTACATAACTATGCACAATTTGTATGGGCACCCAAGCTCTATGAAATTATAGGCATGCGTATGATGAACTGCCCAAGTTACAGCTAGTAAGTGAAATAATGAACTTAGTGAAACCTTGCCAGACAAATAAGAAAAACATCACGCGACTAAATTTTTCTTTACTATTGCATTAAAAACATCAGCTGACTATGACACACCCACCCAAGAATTGTTAAGACTACAATGCGAAACGCCGATCTTCAGAATGAAAATTTTGGATTAGAGCCAAAGCACGTCACTGTTACGTAACTTGTTTTCGACGTGTAATTGGTTAATAATTCGGTTGAAATATATTTTACAATCACACTAAAGACTCTTTATCGACCTGTTTTTCAAACATAGTAAGTACTGGTACTTTGTTTTACTAGAGTACAATGTACGGGTTGGACGCAAACGAGTTAACACTTTAAGGGTCGTATTCTAGAACTCTACTCAATGCTCAAGACAGGATTTGAGTATGGTTTAAAGCACTCGAAGTCATACTCAAGTCCCTGCCATTAGGGTCGTATTTCCAGTGCTTGTGTTTCAATTGCAATCCTGACTTGAGCATTGAGTAGAGTTCTAGAATACGACCCTAAGATTCAGCTGCGGATGAAGCGCCACGACACTGCAATAACCTTCGAAAAGTGTTAATATTGGATATTTTTCAATACATTTCCGAAAAAACAGATTCTCTGTTTTATTTTTTATTTACTACCTAATTTTCAATGTGGCGTAATTTTCAAGGCTTTCTGAGCTATTATTACCTGCAAAACGGCGAGGCTGAAGGGCCCGAAGCGTTTCATGCCGTCATATTCCCGACTATCTAAATTAAACTAGATTGTTATATTTGATACATTATCATTATCTTGCAATTTTTTATCATAATATAATGTAACAATAACTGAAAGTTCCGTACTGGACCGTGTGTGTATGCGAGTGCCTTAAGTTCGATGAAGTTAGGCAGGGTGGGATGGGTTCGTCGTTTCCATATGTATCATTTAATATTGCAAAAAAAAAATAACTCTCATACATGTTTGAAAGTGTCAGAATGACGGTCATCTCGAAAGGTACCTTGATGCCAAATGCAAAGATAATCTTAATACCAGTGGCAGTTGGGAGCCATCTGTCGGCCCTATTTTCATCTTGTCTTTCCGGTCTACAAGCCTCCTTTAAATGCCTTCTATTTTCAGGCGGTCTGGTCTCATCAATATTGGCTATAGGAGCGGCGATCGCAGCATTACCTGTGGGAGTGCTGGCCCAGAAGATCGGTCGTCGGCCTACAATCCTTATTCTCTCCATTCCGTTTATGCTGAATTGGCTTCTTATCATCTTCGCTAATGGTGCCGGTATGCTGATTGCTGCAAGATTCTTCGCTGGTCTTGGCACTGGTAAATACATTTTAAACATTATACAGCGTACGTAGTTAGGTATTAGTAGAGTTTTGCTTGAACAAAGAAGACGTATAACCTACTCGTACCTATTTAAGAAACGCCTTTACCGATATATATATATATATATATGTTTTTTTTATAATATCAAATGACGAGACGAATAAAACATATAGTGTGCAATCGATTGTGAACTTAAACCGCTGGGTTGTATTCCGATTTGACCAATTATTATGAAAGCACTCTAGTTGCACGACATAAATAATTACTGTCGAATTAAATTGAAGTTCGTGTTTTATTACAGGTGGTATCTGCGTTGCAGCTCCAATGTACATCGGTGAAATCGCCGAAACTTCGATTAGAGGCGCTTTAGGAGCCTTCTTCCAGCTATTTTTGACTGTTGGAATCCTCTTCACATTCGTTGTTGGTGGATGGACGCATTGGAGAACTCTGTCCATTATATCTGCAGTATTTCCGCCTCTTCTAGTAATTGTATTTTGGTGAGTAACATTTGCATATCTGAAGACATCAATTTAACATGATTACATTTTTGTATTACCTACAATAAGCGTAAGTAAAATTTGAAAAAAAAAATATTATTCTTATACACTTGAAGTTGGTATATAATTTGAGCTTGATAGACAAAACAATAAAGTCGAAATTATAATATTTTTAGGTGGATGCCAGAAACTCCTCAGTACTTGCTGGGAATGAATAGAAGACGAGATGCTGAGAAAGTTTTACGTTGGTTACGCGGGCCCAATGCTGAGCTTAGCGGTGAACTCGAAGACATGCAGAAAGAGGTAGGACTCCAATACTACAACATATTTTCTTAAATTATTTACAGTTAAAATGTATAAAGTTCTTATAAAATTGATTTTGTCCAATAGGTGGACGACGCAGCACGGCAAAGCGCAAGCATCGCGACTATGTTGAAGAACCGCGCAACGCTCATGGCATTTATTTGTTCCCTCGGCCTCATGTTCTTCCAGCAGTTTAGCGGCATCAACGCAGTCATATTCTACACCAACAACATCTTCCAGTCAGCTGGTTCAAATATTCATCCAACAATTGCCACAATTATCGTTGGTGTGGTACAAACTATTGCCACTGTACTCAGTTCCCTGCTCATTGAGCGCGCTGGTCGCAAACTTCTCTTGCTTCAAAGTTGTATCATCATGGGTATCAATCTAATTATTTTGGGCATTTATTTTAAACTCCAAGAGGCTAAGTACAACGTTTCATCTGTCGGGTGGATTCCTCTAGTATGTTTGATCTTGTTTATCATTTCGTTCTCTCTAGGCTTCGGCCCTATACCTTGGATGATGATGGCTGAACTTTTCCCCGTGGAATACAGAGGTACTGCCTCCGGTATTACTGTGATTATGAATTGGTGCCTTGTTTTCATTGTGACACTTTGTTTCCCAATAATGAAAGAAGCTATCGGTATTTACAGCTGTTTCTGGTTCTTTGCTGGATTCATGGTCGTGTGTACGTTCTTCGTGCTGTTTTTGATACCGGAGACTAAAGGCAAGACTGTAGCACAGATTCAAGCCATTCTTGCTGGTAGGAGGTAAATCTTAATTAAATTGCGAGTGTGAGACATTTACCAAGTCCTCATTCTGCAGGATCGTTCGTTCCAAACTAGAACCATTACTGGATTAAGGTAGTTTGTCACGGATTAATTTACAAACAAAAGTTTAAGCTTATAATCAAAGTTTGGATACGGAAAACAGTAAACGTATCTTAGTTTGGTACGATCATTCCTAGTGTTTCTTTTGCGCCAATATAAAATTATACGACCAAAAAAACTCAATGAATCTTTTTTGGTTATAATTGTGATTGAAATGTCAATAAATAAATGGGTATAATAATTGTATACGTAATAATAAATACTTACTGCAACGTTTACATTTTTATAAATACATTTACATTGTTATTATGACGTACATATTTACAAAGGGTTGGGTAGAATGCGCGCTGTCTTAAATAATACTCGATGCTTAAATGTCATAAATACTTTCTTCTTTGTATTTAAAATGCGAAATACAAAATATAATCATTACCATATAACACTAAACGAACACAGGGAAAATATTAGAAATTTCAGGAAAAAATAGTTAAATATTTGAAATTCCAATTACAAAATACATTTTTACTAATTGAAATACAGATACAAAATACGTATCTATATTTCAAATTCAGACAAATCAACAGCTTTTGCAAAAACTTTTTGCCCGCCATTTTTTCAATATGGCCGCCATACGTCAAACCTGCACTGTTTTGGGGTTACGATTGGTTTTATATATCCGCAAAGGACACTAAGATTGATCGATATACGTAACGTTAGTATTATAGAGGACAACATTGAAAATTACACCGTAAATTTTGTGCGAAGCCAAGATCATCGTATGATCAGGAAAATGACAAACATAAGGTTATCTTAGAGGTTTGTTAGATGCTCCTTCGTAGTGTTGGCAACCAAATATTCACCTTTCATTCGAATATGTAAATTAGTACAAATGTGATAAAATACTCAGTGATTTTTGGTCCGCTTTTTAGCGAATTCGTTAACGAAGACTGTCAAATTTGTGTTTAGAATATTTAATGAGTACGTGGCCCTTTACCTCCACAATAGTAACATTAATATTATAATCAAATGATAATCAACAAACAAAGGTAAAATCAGTTTTGGCTTGTTCAGGAGAAGTAATAATTGTGTCACAATAATGACCCGAACGTTTGTAATTGCTATGCCGCTCGCGTGGCATACAATGTTCTTCATCACACTTGCGAAGAAGTTAAAAAAAAAGAAAATTAGACGTGAAAAACGTAACATTATTATGTTCGCATTATATGTACTAAATTTTAACATCTCGAGAAGAATTATATAAAGACTTTTTTTGCGTTAAATCTTTGTGAAATGTGATGAAAAGCATTTTACACATCAAATTAATTAAATCAAGAAATAAAAATATGTAAAGCGACCGAAGTTACTTATGTTAACAATATTTTTTAATAATTTACTAAAATAAGAAAATCGTAAATCAAGGAATTAAGTCAATAAAGATAAGTATAAATGAATAGTAAAAAGTGCCAAATATTAACATTCGTTTCTTAGCTCTGCACATTTATAATTTGTTAATGTACCTACTCCGAAATTCCAGTTAGACTTTCAGCTATTTAATAATTACGTTTCATAGAATACGTAAATAAATGTAATACTTATTTTAAAGTGAAAATATGAATGAAACACAGTTACTAATGTTTGGTCAAAGTAATATCTGACTATAATTTCACTTATATAGGTACTATCTAATGCAAATCAGATGTATAAAAATATTTTTATATAAAAATGTGTACATTTTTTATATAAAAATATTTGGTTCAGATGGTCTAATAAATACATACAAATGTTGTCAAAGTGTTATTTATTATCAGAAATTATTATGTTTATTTTATTTATTATGTAAGTACATAAATGTTTTAATTACATAACAGTATTTGTTTTATTTCATTAAAAACAGACTTATGAGTATACGATACACAAGATCAAAATTTCATTATAGTTTTTAAGGCTTCCGTAGTTATTCGAACGTATAAAATATATATAATCCTATTGAAATTACGGATTGCATTAAGGAGGTCCCCAAACTTTTTGTAGACCACGAGCCATTTTTTGCTATTTTGCATTGACGGGGGTGCTTTCCTGATTTCGGATCTTTTACAAAATCCTCCATTTCAAATGTGTGTTTGACAGCTGACACAGTGTTAGTGCAAAACTTAATGAAAAAAAGAAATAATTACATTTCATGTTAAAGGTAATTTAATTTTGATCACAACCTGCATAAATACGTTCCACTCTCGTGGAGACCATTAAAGTCTCACGCAAACCTAAGTAACCATAAAAAAAAGTAAAGGTCTTAAATACCACTTTCATTGTTATAAAAGTTACTAATAAATATTACTTAGTATCCGTTAAATATTAATATTGCAAAATCTTAATTATATTAAAACAAAGTACTATATTTTTCTAATCAATTTATTAGACAAATCTAACAAAAAGACTGGACGTCAAAAACAAATGAACTCAAGACGGGACATGTCAGAAGAGTGACGACGTGAGCGAGGGGCAGTCTCTGATAATGGCTTTCTTCTCAATGTCGTCCACTCTACAGGCAAGCTCGGCGATTTGTTTCTCTATCGCCTTGACGTCGCTTCTAAAGCCTGTATAAGGCAAAGAAATTATTAGATATAAATAAATAAATATTAGACACCATCACATACGTTACTCTGATTCCAAAGTAAATAGCTAAAGTACATAAGTTATGGAAATCGGAAACAACGACGGTACAACAAACACGCAGACCCGAGACAATATGGAAAAGTTTAGTTTTCTACATTGACCCGGCCGGGGATCGAGTCCGGGACCACGGAGACGAAAATGCCACTCGACCACTGAGGCCGTCAAAATAGCTGTTTCCTCAAGATCCTATGGGGTGCTCCTACTAGTAGGAACATGAGGATTAATATATCCTTATGCTCCTATCGTGACATTGTATCTAACAAGTACACTGAACTAGAATAAAAAAAAATCAAAATAAAAAAGTAAAAAATATCGTTATTTCATACGTAAGAAGGAAATTACACTTGAAATCGTCACTTTGCGCACTTTCGTAAGGCAGCTTCCCCTGAGAAGAATGATCAAGAAACTCTAGGGGTTGCTCTTTAAAATTAATATATATAGTAATTTAAATGTACATATAGAAACAACCTAAGACCTAAACGGATCACTACCATGGATTTTTGTCATCCAAGTAGATACTTGGATGACAAAAATCTATTAAAAGCTATTAGACAACTTCTGCGTAGATACGCAGAAGTTGTCTAATAGCCTTTAGTATAAAGTTTTTCTTTTACTATAATTTTAAACCTCGTAAATGACAAAGTTTGGAAATCAATCACGTTTGTTCGACTGACAGCGAAGCAAGCAGAATTAGACAGTACTGCGATGACATTACAATTTAAATTCAACGTTTTAGCTTTTTCATATTCCTTTACATGTCACTACGTTTAAATAGGTTGACTTGGGACATTTTTTTTCGTGGTTTTTGTATTAGACTCGTCGTCCATTTATTTGTAAGTCAATGAAAATCTCATTATAAACGTAGATAGAAGCGAAAATCGATAACATACATACGAGTACTACAGCATCAATTACATAATTATAAATATAGGTTACAATACATTAGTAGGAGCACGAGTACATATTTATACTTTTCGTCCTATTAAAAGGAGCATAAGGACATATTAGTCTTCGTACACCTACCAGTAGGAGCATGAGGAAACGGCCTTCAAAATTAATGTTGCTGTGATTGAGTTACAGTACCTCTACCGTAAATTTTCATTGTTGCAAGCGACCTCAAAGCAACTTCAAGTATTTGTATGACAACATACGTACAATTTTATTATACAGCGCTCGTAGCGGTAACAAGAAGCTCTAAAATTGGATAAATTAATATTTTACGCAGGCACTCTTTAGAGATTTGTCACTGAAATCCAATTCCTGAATCATTTTATTCCTTTGAATATTTAGTGCATTCTTATAATTAGGTATTTTATTATATTTTTTTTATTATAATATCTAGTGATGGCACGAACAAGTAGTGCGCCTGGTGGTAAGCGACACGCCTATTTATAACAGTTGCAGTGTCACTGAGAGTTTCAAATCGCAAAGACTTTAGAGGCACTGCCACTGCTCCCGTCACCCTGAGACTTATGTTGTAAAGTCCCATGTGCCTGTAAATTCACCAGCACCCTTACCCTTCCAAACCGGAAAGCAGTAAGGCTCAAATTACATCTTGGCGGCAGAAATGGGTAAGGTGACACTAGTTCCTTGGACGAACTCTTTCACAACGAGCTCTGTTGCTACTGAAAATCACTTTCAGTAGAATATCAATAATACACAATTGTTGCGTAAAAAAGAAGACAATCAAAGTACGCAAATCGAAGTGGGTAAGAGAATGGAATAGAAGAGAGAGGCAAAACACTTCAGAAACATGGAATAGTGTAAATTCGGACAGTGTTGTGACAATCACTTAGTATATTCGGGCACTGTGCAAATACATGGGTTCCTTACATGACTACTTATGAAATGTGGAATTTTAATTATATTTTTGGCAACTTCTTATTTTGAGTAGATAACACGCTAAGACCTGAGAACTGACTAAGTTTTTTTTGTTGGCAAAGGTACTGTACGCTTCAATGACATTTGAGCCTTCCATGTATAAAAATGTAATGTATCTTGACAAAAAATTAATTGAAGGCACTATTCTGCCCTCCTTGTTATTATAATGCATTTTCATTTGGAAAATTTCGAGACCTTTTTTAATTTTAATAATATCAATTACGCTGATTTTGCTTAACAATAAAACTGAAACTAAATAAGTATTAAAAAACGCTTATGTAATTATATTAACATCATAATAACGCACTATTGGTACCTAAAGTTTTGTTTTTTTATAACTTCAAGTGACGGGACCAACAAGTCGTGCGCCTGATGGTAAGCTACTCGCCTGAGATCTGAGGGGCACTGCCACTACGCCCGTCACTTCGAGACAATTGACAAGCCCCATGTGCCTATAATTTCACCAGAACCCTTGCCCTTCAAAACCGGAACGCAGTAACGCTAACATTACTGCTTGATAGCAGAAAAAGGTACGTAGTAGGTTTTTGAAAAATATAAAATACGCTGATTTAGCTTAACAATAAAACTGAAACTAGATAAGATATTAAAAAACCGCTTATATAATCATATTAACCTAATAATAACGCACACACTTGAAGCCACTAGGGAAACCCTGTATCGGTGGTGCAATGGACACACTCACGAGAGAAATAAATGTAGGCCTTACGAATATTTCTTCCTGTCTGGGAACGAACCCAGGACCTCTGCGTGGCAGTCAAGCATGGTAACCGTTCCGTTACGTTGGCAGAAATGAATGAATGAAATATTCTTTATTGCACATTAAAATTACAATGACAACACAGAGCAGTAATAAAAGTATCACAGAGTAAGACCCAATGTCCAAGTTCATCCAGTGAAGTACTACCACCTTAACTATTTGAACGGTAAGGTTTATGGTGCAATTACAGGCACATGGGACTTGTCAACTTATGTCTCGAGGTAACGGACGCAGTGGCAGTCCCTCTCAGATCTTTGCGACTTAAAGCTCACGGTGGCACTGCAATTGTTATGGACGGGCGTGTAGCTTCCCACCAGGCATATGTCTGGTGCATCCCGTTACTTGATATCTTAAAAAAAATATGAGCTAGATCCATTGGCACCATTAGTGGGTCCAGAAATTTTGAATATTGTGCTTACTAACAGTGAATCTGATTACTCAAAGGTTGGTGGAAGGTGGAACCGAGGATGAAAATTAGCTAGAAATAGATCACACCACCTTCCTGTTAATTGTAAAGGAATGGACTTGTTAAATGTCATCGGAACTTTATGTCTAACCTGTGATAGTAACCAAAGTACCTGTGACAGTGGCGTCAAGTTCTGTCAAATATTTGATCTTGGTACACAGCTCGTCGTACTTCTGTGAAATGTAATCCCTCGCGTTCTGTGAGTCGGTCAGCTCTTTATCAATCTTGTGCGTTATTTCGAACTTCAGCTCATCGAATTTTGACTCTAGACTGGGACCAAGCAAATGGGCACCCCTTATTGCTAAATCTTCGTCTTTTAATTTACCCGGCATAGTTCTGAGGGCCATAATTTTTTAGCGTTGTTGCACTCTAAACAATTTCAAATTTTCATAACGATTACGCATTGTAATTTTGTTGCCTTTGACAGACCTATAGATACGAGATTTCTAATAACTTATGATTTCAGTTTACTTTTTAATCGGCCTTTATTGTTTAATAGCCAGGAATGTGATGGAGAGAATTTTACAATGTGTAGAGAATTTGAAATGAGATTTTACTCATGCTAATAAAACCTATTGTAACTACTAGATATTTTGTTGATTGTTTGCGGCAATTTATGAGTTTATTTTCCTATCCTGGGAATTTTTTTTCTCTAACATGTGCGTCATTAAAGTTGTCTATGGCTGTAATTTGAATTTTTTTGTGATCTTTAAACAAAACAATTATCAAATACATTTTTTCCTTAACCAGACAACTCATACTATTTTTATTTTTGTCCTTAAGCTTTGGAAAATGCCTCCTATCTTTATTACTGATAATGGTTTGATTAATGTTGCAGAAAACCATTTTTCCAACGCATATTTCATGAAAATGTTCTATTATTGTAATTTGAATTTGATTTAATTTTTCGTGTTTGTTGTCAAAAGAATATAGTATAAACACATTACACTCAATACGACACTACACAATATGACATTTGTTTTTATTTTTGTCCTATGTTTGAGAAAAGACCTCCATTACGTCTCTGACATTTCCATTGGTTTTAATTTATTGTGTGACGATGTTTTTATTTAAAAAAAATGTCATTTTATGAAAATGATGCAAAAATGGGACATGCAATTTCAAATGAAATTATACTGGCTATGGGATTTTGCAATCGGTACAGAACTCTACTCAACTCACGACTTCTTCTGATTCTTCTAAGGATAAAGCATACCCAAAAATTTGTTTGAAATGCAACCCATTTGCTACCTACGTGTTACGAATGTTACGCTAACACTGTCCAAGGGTCATCCATGGCTTTAACAGTTTTTTACGCCTTGGAAGTTGCACTGTTTTAGTATTGTTATTAATAGCCATGTTTTGTTGATCGATTAGATAATCCATACAGTAGTTTGGTTCTTCATATAAGTAAATTTGCGAAAAATTAATGTTTCATACATCCGCTTTAAGACCTTCAGTAGTTATTTTGTTACAGCTTTGATAAGCGAATTGTTTTGGTATCTTAGTATTTAAAAATAGTAGAACCGCTTTGCGGTCAGTAACTGTTGAGTTTAATACAACAGTTGTTGAAGCATGTTTCGTCTTTAGTAAAATATGGTCTATACATTTTCCAGAAACGTCTCTTGTTGTAAAAGTGTGTGCCGGGAGTAGACCGTGCTGAACCGATAGATTAAGATATTCTTCGGATTTATTATCAGGTGTGATGTTATTGATTGAGATATTGATGTCACCTATTAAAATTATGTTACTGAAAGTACACAGACTTTCCAAGACAGTGTTTAAAGATTGAAGAAATGCATTTATATCGTTATTAGAGGGTGAGCGGTATATTGCGACAATGGCTGTGGTGTGATTAAATTTCAGAATGAGGCAGTTGCAGTTTTGAAAAGTTGGTTCCTCTGTTGTGACACGCAGTTGGTCATTAACGTAAATTACAACACCATCATTTTGTATACGATTTATTTCTGTTGCATAAACATTGTATCCTGCCAAGGATGGCAAGACGTTCACGCATGGTAGTCTACATTCCGTGAAAACTAGAATGTCACAGTGAATTTGAATGTTGTTTAAAAGAATTTGAAAATTATTAAAATTACAATTTATACTGCGTATGGTATGTGTACCTAATGATTGATTATTTATCACTAAATGAAGGTATATTTATGAAGATCTATAGCATCACAGGAGAGTGATTGAGATATAGAAAATTGATCAATATTATTCGAAATTTCATTTTGTTAATCGAATGTTAATAGTAAAATATATACAATCCCTATTAAATGACCCACGTTTGTAGCAATTGTATAAAATGCAGAAATAACAGTGTTTTTATTGATGATTATAATGTTTTAAAGATGTGTGGAGATCATTGTTTGCGTATTTATTGATGTGTGTAAATATTGTAGGTCTGTGTGTTGGCTTTGTGTTTGAAGTTGAATAGTATATTGTTTTCAGTGTGCTGTATAGTGTAGTATAATTAAAATAAAAATAGTAAAGAGGCATGCAAATAAACACGTAGTATAAACAATGCAAATAAAAAGTTAAATCAAAGTATATAATAAAAGCTGATATCCTCAATGAAATGACATTCAGTCATTCCTTTAGGCGTAATTTTTGAAGCGCACGTTCGGTATCAATTTTAATTTGTGGCGATTTTTCATTCTTTTGGATATAAACCATACCTCGTACAGTCCAGCAAAAATCATATCCGTGAGTTTTTTTTAAATGTCTAGCCAAATAAAATAATTTCTGTGTCTTCTGTCTTAGCGTTTCGGAGACAAATATCGGTTTAGTAGGTAGATTAGGGCCTAAGTTTTTAGTGCTGAGTCATCTTTGGATTTTCCTTCAAGAAACTTTTCTTTTGTTATAACTGATGAAAATTCAGCTATAATTGGTTCTTCTGAGTCTTTCGGGTTAGCTCTAAAAAGATCTTTTATATTGCCTTCTTGAATGTTCATGTTTAAGACAGTTCCCATTTTCATAACTATCGTGCTGAGATGCTGTTTTTGGTTTCGGTTTTATTTATTTTAGGATAGTTTCTGATTTCGATCCCCGTTCCACGAGATTTGCGTTCAAGTAATTTAATTTTCTCTTCTAAGATAGTTAAATATTGCTTATCTTCCCTTCTTTGCTTTTCTAAGCCATCAATTCATTTTAAGAACTCATCGTATTTACTACATATAGTATCCACACTTTTTCAAAGTTCCCCATTTTGGCTCTTTATGGAGTTTACCGTTAACTGAAGTGAGTTAAAACGCTTCTCTTGTTCCACCGAAAAGGCAGCAAACATTTCCCTCAGTGTCGCAGTCATGGTATCGCCCTCGCTGTCGATTTCACGTTTCCTTTTTTTACGGTCATTAACGTTGTCTACTAAGGATGTAAGATTGGGTTCAGATTCCGTAAGGTGCAACGGAGAAGTCTCCTTAGGCTCTGTACTATTTGATGTAGGCGTTCGTGTCGCAGTTACACCAACGTGCAGGCAGACCGACGATGACGTAGATGACTGGGTATTTGAGGGGGGAGGGAAATGTCGAAGCGGCATATTAAAGAAAGGTCAATGTCTCCATTTTTAATTATGATTTTTTATTTTTTTATTTTTTTATTATATATTTATTTGGACATTGGTCAAAACCATTTTTGATACGTCCTTGTACTACTATTTTCCATAGTGCGGCGCCGCCAAGACGTTGGCGCGTGGTGTTTTTCTTATAAGCACGTGGTGTTTTACTTACTAATGATTGTATATTTACAGGTTAATTATGACATTGATTACCAAATTATCACTTAAATTACGCAACTATCTAACACTATGTCGAGTCTTCTCATCACCCATACCGCAAAATACCGTTCTACCTGTTATGACATACGGAACCGAGACGTGTACACTCACGATACGGTTACTTCACATTCAGGATTTCCCTAAAGCGGGGCTATGAGTAGGATTTGTGCTATTTAAAAGAAACTTGCACTTATACGTAGTAGATGTTAACAGTAAATGTCATTATTTTGTACGATTCATGTTACAATAATTGAGTTTGTAGCATTAACACGGTCATACTAAATGTCCACCCACTTCCAGAGATATCGATAAAATGTGTGTACGAGTGTATGGTATCATTGGAACTTATCAAAGAGTCATTTTGTTATTTGTATTTTACACTTATGTGTTTTGTGTAATGGCGGCGCCAAACCTGACTAACATTATAGTGGAAAACAAGGAGCATTCTATACTACGAACCAGGCAATTATATAATATAATAGTACTTTTGTAGCATGCGAGTTGTAGGTACTACAGCTTTACAAGACCACTTGGCAACATTTTCTAAATGAGGTAAGAACATCCAAGTAATAAACTACCAATATATTGCAAATAAATGAATTTTGCAACCAGAAGGTATAACATTTAGTGTTCTTGTATATATAATGTGTAAACATTTGTTAATATTTAAGTTCATCTGATTTGTAGAACACCACTCCTGTAACATATACATATCAGTCTGCAATAAAGACACGTCTACAGGTAATTTAATGACCCTCGAGTAATTAATTCAGTGATTGACAGTAGAGCACCTTGTGAAAGATTACGTCTAAGGAAGTACTGCCTACCTAACCTATTTCTACCCCCAAGCAGTGTGAGCACTACTGGTTCCGGTTTGGAAGGGTAAGGGTGCTGGTGCAATTACAGGCACATGGGACTTGTCAACCTATGTCTTAGGGTAACGGGTACAGTGGTAGTGCCCTTAAGATCTTTGCGATTTCAAGCTTGAGTGGCACTGCAACTTTTATGGATAGGCGTGTCGCTTACCACCACGCACACGACTTGTTCGTCCCGCCACATGGTATTATAAAAAAAAAATATCTATATATAAATATGATATTAAATATTTCAAAAAAGCTCTCAGAATCTCTCTATTTATACTAGCTAGTGGCCGCGACTCCGTCAGCCTAGAATTAGTCTTCTAGTAGCCTACTGTACTATATACATTTTTATAGTATTATTATGTGCCAGACAACCACACACATTATTGGTTCTCCATACATACTTCACCCCCTTTAAGATATATTTATGTGACAAAAGTAGCCTATGTCCTTCTCCTAGGTCCTATCTATCTCTATACCAAAATTCATCAAATTTGGTTCAGCACTTTAGTTACTTTCGCATCATACTTAGTTTGGATTAAAAAGAAGTGGCCCCAAATGAGACCCACGAGCAACGTCAAAAGCTATATACTAAAAATAAATAAATCAATAAATAAATAAATGAATTGGAAAAATTTAAACACTGTTCAACCAAAGTTGTAGGTGAAGAGCAAGTGAAGAGCTTTTTTAATAGTGCATTGTGATACACGCACGGCTAACTTCCAAAAGCGTAGGAAAGTTCCTGTCGACAAAGACAGACCTAGCATCTGATAAGTCAAACCATCAATCACAGTTATAGAATCCGGA